GCGACATGTCGATCATGTGCATGCTGTTTCAACCTCGCTGCCTGGAGGGCTCGAGGTCCGAGGCGGGAGGGTCTTGGGAACGTGTCGGACACGTATGGACCGGTGAGCTGGGAAAAGACGGTGTGGCACCTTCTACAGTCTTTCGCTGACAGGGTCAGGTTCATTTCTGGTCTTTTCCGACTTACTGGAATTGGGACATTCTGGTTTCTTCATCTACATTGATCAGGGATCAACTGCTGCCAGTGGGAACTCTATCGAGTTCACAAGGGTTAAAGGGAGGGGTGAGATTAGGCTCAAGGTTTAAGCTTAAGTAAGGGGGGGTTGAGAAAGCTTCGGGTTTCAAGGCTAGGATTTTAGGGCTTGGAGGGGGGTTTAGGTCGTGGGTGTCTTGAGATTGACCATTGGCAGAATGGGTACGGGCTCGAGTAAGCCCGGGCCGTGGCGCATCCAGGAGGCCCGGTCGCGAAAAGGGGCCCATACATTGCATCTAAACGTCACAGAGGCGAAACCCGCGAAGAGCGACACAGCTTAGGTCCCAAAATCTGTGAGCCCATGCTTCTAGACGTCCACCCTAAGCGAACGATGCTGCAGGATAAATAAATGGCTCACAGGACCCGCGACGACCCCCACCCCGCCTAGTGAGGCCCGAAGGACCCAATGACGTGCCCTAAGCTGTTTTCACTGCCACGCAGAGAAAGCTATGGTGTCGCGAACCACATGAGATTACGTAAATAGGCAACGGAGTATATACATGTGAGTATGCCACCATGCCGTTGCTTTAACTCCCTATGCAGCCTGCATAACAGACCGCCAGGGGGCGTCTAAGATTTATGGTTTCACCACCCTCCCGTTCGATGAAGAGGGCGTCGCGGTCCACCGTCTTGGATTCAGCTTTTTCTTGTCATGTTTGCCAGGTAAGAAGGGGGGTCCCAGGCTGAGGCAGCGGAGCCCCGCGGTGCGAAGAACTATCCCAAACCACACCAACAAACGAAGATTAAAACCAGTAAGAGCCGGTGATCAAATCCTTGTAGGACCAGTAAACCCTTCCAAAACCGTCCGACCCCTTAAAACCAATGCCACCTCGGCCTCTCTGGCCAATCTGTCTTGGTCCTCTCTGAGAAGAGGCTGGGTCTTGGGGCTGAGTACCGTAAGAGAAAAGTGGTTACTCATGGTTACTCGTTGCGTTCTGATCGGAATTCGTATGTCCGAACAGTTTAAACTTTAAAGGCTCCCCACCCAGCCCTGTTGGTTCGGAGTCAGATAGGGTAACTACGAGCGATGGCTGCTAGGATCGTGACGATGACCGAGATGAACATGACGTGGGGAGGACCAAGACCATGACATTGATGCTGATGACGATCTTGACGAGACGGTGACAAGGGTGTGAGCCGGTTGCTTATGTCTATACGTGCGGAGGCCGCCGCAACAAGCAAGCGCAGCAGCCACAGCAGCACCAAAGAACAAGAGCTCCCACGTCCTGGACCATCTGTTCACACTGCTCGTGCAGTGCGGTGGTCTTTCGGAGAACCTCGTATGGCAAGGCACCCGCACCCCATGCGTCTGGTGACTCCACAAGAGCATGTTCCTTGACCAGGGCACAATGCTGAGCGCAGCTGAGCTGCATCGCATCTCTGCCGGTCCAGCTCTCTTAACTGGTCCAGGACAGCATCGAGCCTTGCAAGACTCAAAACGGAACGAAACGAATCTGAGGACTGGGACCCCGGCTCTCCACATGCAGAGTCGCAGATCTCCCGAACACGATAGATCCTGAAAAGACTGCGCTCGCTGCTGCGCTGCTTTTGCTGCTTTTCCCTTCTTTCACATCACATCGAAGCGTCCATCGCCAGCGTCCGCGACGCCGGGAGCCCTTTCACGCGCGAACCCAGAGGAGCTTTCAAGCAAGCCTTTCGCATGCAATGTGCCTCCTGGGTCCTCTGCCGCAAACGGACGGAGTGCCAGTGACCGTGAAAGGCCTCGCTGCAAGCTTTCGAATCGTGCGCGGGGGGGGGGGGGGCGCGGGGCTTTCAGAACGCCTCGAAGGCAGTGACTTCCGACGCTTCCGCGTCTTTCGACGCCACCTTCCGCGAGTGCTAGAGTCTACACTGAGTCTACGCTTTGCACTCGCCCTTCGGCCCTCTGACCCCCCTTCCCCTCCGCTTCCGCCTGCGAAGGCGCCCCAGCACCTGGAGCAGCGCAGCGACAGGCGACAAAAGCCAAGAAAAGAAGAAGAAGAAGGCTCTAAGCAGGCTCGCTGAAGGCTCTCTCTGGCTCTATCACTCAGCGTCTCAGCGCAGCTGCTGCGCACGCTTGGCACCGGCACCCACTGCAGCGGAGAGGTCGTCCAGCAGCGACGCTTGTCCTGCAGGGGGCGGAGCGGACGCCGCGGACGCCTTCACACGGCCGTCTCACGCTAAGCCGCCCTGCGCTGGGCTAGGCCCCCGGCTCTCCGACAGGAGCAGCTCTGCAGAGAGCGCCGCCATCGTCGCGCGACCTGTGTCGGCAGGTGGTGCAGGGAGCTCCGAGGAGCCGAGGAGCCGAGGAGCCGAGGAGAGAGAGAGGAGAGAGGAGCTTCAGAGGAGGCTTCAGACTGACTTCTCTGGCGCTGAATTCGTCTCTTTTGGTTTGCTCTCCCAGCTGCGGCGTAGCGGTTCGACGGATCATGTTTTGATGCGGAGCGCCGTGGGGTGGAACGTGGAACAGTAGACGTAGCCTCCGCCTTGCGAGCCAGATCCTGGGTAACTCCAACTTTCGCCTCTGTCCAACTTGCCGCTTAATTGTTTTTCTTGGCGACTCGTGACAAGCCTCTTGCTTCATGTGCCAAGCCTGGCTCCATCCAGCTGCTTGGCAACCAGGGGTCAGAAATGGGTAGAATCACAAACACAAACGATATCATGCTCGCTTACGACTACCCCTACCCTTGTCGATTTCAACTCGGCTTGCAGACGTTTACTCCTCCTGTCTTGCACCAGCTCCTGCAATTTGGGCTCGTCCTTGTAGCCAGTCGCAACATACACGAAACAAGCGGTTGATTTCAGCGACTGGGAAATTTCCTTCATCGACGATGGATAGCGACGAGGCGACGCACAAAGATCCGAGGAAAGAGATCAGACAGCATGCGCATCGGTTTGGCTAGCCCGCACTTGGTCTATCTGCCCGTCCTGACGATGCCGTCTACGCCAGATGACCACTGCAACATACCACTCAACGTCTGCTTCATCACATGACTGAATGAGCCTAAAAGTTGTTCCGTGGGCTCAGGGCGGAATGCAAGGAGAGGAATACTGAACACTGCCCCCGGCCCAGACCCAAAGCGGCCAGCGGGCCTCGGCGTCCGCGCGGAGCGAGTACGGTGGCGTCAGGCCGTTTGGCTGAGGCTCAGGGTCCAGGGTGCTCAAGGGTGTTAAGGGCTTGACCGGGCCTCTCTGCTTCTCTTTCCTAGACGGGGCAGGGGGCATCCCGGGGCGATGCGGCGATGCATGCCCTTGTTTGATGCTTCTGGGTCGAAGCGGAGAAGTTTGGGACTCGCTGCCCTGCCAGCTCGGCTCCTACGCAATTCCTCTCCTCCCTTGACGTGTCACTCCGAAGCTCGCATCTACCCCTAAACAGCTGCAGATGAATCTGTCGCGAGACGATACCAGTATGCGGCGCCCCTGTTGCAAGATGCAAGATGTACCTGCATTCAATACTAGGTTAGAGCACTACGCCTCCGAAAGACCTCTTCGCCGCCGTAGCCGAAGGACAATCTTCAAATCCTAGAGCCCGATCTGACAGGGTGAGATCTGTCTCTATGCTCTGCCAGCTAGCGCAAACCTTGAGCAGCCGACTCAGAGCCCGAAACGGCTAATAACGGCGTACAGTAACGTCTCTAGTTTCCGTTGATTCCCAATTTCCCAACATTCACCCTCTGCCAGCATCAAGGTCAGCCGCAGATGCTGGCATCACCCGACCCCCCGCTCGCTGCGGCGCCCTTTTATTTGCAGTCAAGCTCGCAAAAGACGCCGGAGCACGGTGAGCTGCAAGCGAGCTTCTGTGATCTTCAAGCATCTCCGGCTTTGTATGATCGGCGGCTTCTGTTTACTCTATGGATTCTAGCTGCAGTTCGAATTCTGGTTTGCCTCGTTACATGCGAGAAAACCCATGTTAAGCTGTGCCTGCAGTCGGGCTAAGTCGAGGAAGCCATGCCATCTGAAGCGTACTAGATTCAGCATGTCGGAGTTCTAGTCTAGCGATGGTCTGGCTGTAGGGTTGCGGGCCAAGGTTATAGGCAGTATGTCAGGGTAAAGTGGAGGCTTGGGGAGGGTAGTAAGCGGATCGAACTGATGCGCACGTTCACTGGTATTTAGACCACTCTAGATCGCATTAGCATCTCGTTTGGGAACGGGCATCTCGAAGACGAAACAATCCCAGATTCGTACATGCTACTGAGATGACCAAGAAGCTGATACCAAGACCCAGGTCTATAGATTGTCCGCAGAGGCCTGTGCTTCTTGATATCGGGCCGCTGTTCTACTAGCCGCAGAAGAAACGAACACTCAACCGTAACATAATATGTATTTACATATCGTTCTTGCTTTGCTATTGGCCATTGGTATTGTTTGCTGAAATGGCTCATATATGGCTCGCTGCAGCTCTAAAGCGTGTTATCGGCGCAGCATAATCTTCAGATCGCAGAGAGGAGCTGGGGTCTGGTGTTTGGTGTTTGGTTACTCCTTCACCCCAAGCTGAGCTGGGATCCAACGAGTTGCAGCTCCTCTTCAAGGAGCTTTCGAGGCCAAGACTATTCGAAGCTCTGAGCATTCCGGGTCTTGTGCCTCAGTGCAGCGACTGCAGCGGAGTTTCTGGCTTCTCTGACTTGGTTGAAGTGCTGAGACGTCCGCGACAGTGCCGCTGCCCAGGTTGCCGCAGAAGCCTCAGATTCCCGGGTCGGCCGTTCTCCAGAGTGTCTACGGATGTCGGCGTACAGTGTCACGCTCGCTCTTCGGTGGTGTGGCCTGCCATGCTCACTCATCATCATCGTCATCGTCGTCCTCCTCAACGACAGGTTTTTTGGCCACCTGCTTCCACAGCTCTCCGTGGTGGCACAGCGCTGTCAAGCATCGTGAAGCCCGCCTTGGCCTTCTTCGCTGGCCTCTCCTCCTCCTCCTCGTCCGAGTCGTCAAAGGTCTGCTTCGTGCCTGCAGAGAGCACCGGCCTAGCGCCAGCCTAGCGCAGAATGGGAGCTTGCATTTTTTGGGCGGAGCTCAAAAGGGCCCCAAAGGGCGGCCTGTGGACTCGACCTCAATGCAAACTCTCTCACAGAGCCAAGCTGTCGAAGTCTTAGGATCCCGGCCATCGTTCCATCCTTTCACAGAGGCGCTTCCCAAAAAACCCAAGAACTCCAAGAGGCCAAGGCTCCGAACGTCCAGCCTTGGCTGCTTTGTTAGCCGAGGTCGCCTTGCCCTTCTTCCCTCAGGCAAGGGTATTATATACCGGGCCCACGCTGCGACACGCAAGGACGTTGCAGACAACTCTGCGAGGAGGAATCTTCGAGCCTTTGCCCTTTCCTTTATCTTTGCCCTTTCCTTTGCCGTCCTTGGACTTTCCTCGAGCTGAACGGAGCAGCTGAGCAGCTGGGCCCTTTCAGGCAACCTGAAGTCCCGCCTTTGCCGTCTTTACCTTTGCCATCTTTGCCCTTGCCTTTGCCTGCCATCCCGCAGAGCAAAGGATCCGCACTCACGTGCTCATCAAGGGTCGGATTGGTAAGAGCCTGCCTTCACGGTCACCTGCTTTGCTGACGTAGATGGTTCGTCCACTGTAGTCGGTCTCATTGAACTCCAAGGCCTTCTTCACAGCCTGGCAGCTTTCCGACACGCGGCAGAAGCGACGCCCGCTCTTCCGAAAAAGAAGCACCTCCCACGGGCCTCTTCATCTTTGAACTCGACGAAGGCGATGCCCTTGAGTTGCCCGTCCTGTTCTGCCGATGGCTCCCATGCCAAATTCCCCAAATCCCGAAACCTGCCTCATTCTTCAGACAACGACAGGAGACCAGCTCTCCACACTCCGCGAAGTCCTGTCAGAGTGCCGCAAGAGAAAAGCGCTGAACGAGCACATGTCCTTCCCTATCCTTCCCTGCTATGCTGTGCACACTGTCAACTCACTGCAAAATAATCGCGCGACCATGCATACGAGTGTATGTATACACACGTACATTGATGCAACTTAAACCTATACTTGCTCGGTCGTTATTGCCCCCATGACAGACCACCTTTATAAAACACAGCTCCCATCGGCGAAACCGGCTTCTTGCAAAGGGTTCAAGCACTGCCTTCGTCCGGGCTCGACCTGTCAAGCCAAGACAAAAACATCAAACAACAAGGGTCCGGAAGGCCTACTGGAAATATTTGTTTATTGTTGTTGGTCGACGTTCGTATGGTTTCAACCCTCAGCCTGAAACCAAGAAGCAAAAAAACACAGATCCAGAGAGAATGCCGGAATTGTTCTGGTTGCTCAGCTTTCTGTTTTTTGGGTTTTGGTGTTCCGGATGCTGTGGAGAATTGACACTGTGAAAGACGAGCCAACAAAAAACAATGCCAAACAACCCACAACAGTTCCGGCATTCTCTCTACATCATTGTGCTATTGTGTTTTGGTCTCATTCTTCATCTCCGGTGTTACGTGCTGACTGCGCTCGTGCACGACATCACCATATCAAAGTCGTACGTGTGAGTCTAGAAGTCACTGCAGCTCTGCTCTTGCGTTATCGGAATTCAGCCATGCATTGCAGGGGCCATGCTCTCCTGCATGCATGCATGGAATCAGGCGCGTTTCATCCTGGCACATCGTGGACTGTATGTTGTCATGTTGGGATGCACATTGGTTGCTAGACATCTCCAATTCGTCTTGGAGGCCCGTGGCCCTGCAAAGTTTGGAGACGGCTGAAAAGGCGGGTCGTTGGAAGGGATGCCGCTGAGCGCCATGGCATCCACGGGCGTGGCATTCGATAACCATTCCGCTGGTGCCAAAGTCGCTCCACACGCCGCCGCGGATAAGGTGAACATGTTGCGGTATAGCGCAACGGGCCTTCTATCGACGACCGCGTTGATGTGGGTCTATGATATATGTACATGGCCCTACATGGCAGAGTCGTCCACGGCGACCGTATCTTTGTCGAAATCACAACCATGTCGACAAAAACGGCGAAACTTCAGCTATTCGCATTGATTTAGGGAATAAAAGGCAGAAGCCCCCAAGAGCTAGCGTAACACATTCAAACAGATGGTCTCGGCGAAGTCAGCACAATCGCTGACTGTAGATGCTGCAGTAGTGGCTGCTGGTAGTGTTGCCGCTGGAGATATCTTGTTGAAACTCCTACAAGTAAAACCGTGTTATGTCATGCGTGGTGGTTTCCGAGATGTCGAGTGCAGGCACATTTTCTGTTTGGTGCACTGATTCCAAATAGCGTCGGTAACTGAAGACAATTCACGGGCGATGTGGAATGATGAAGACGACAGCTTGGCACATGCCGTGCAAGGGACCAGCATTCGATGTGCGTTCACGTGGTCCAATGGCAGAAGTGGGTGCAGAACACGGCTGCCGTGTCCCATCCGGCTCCTGTTGCTCAGGCATTGCACGATGGAGACGCAATTGAGTGGCTGTGGGTTGCGAGTTCTAGTGTGTCACTTGCCATGAAGCACTCACTGTTACATGTTTTCCACCACCAACGGCAAAATCGGCTGGAAGGTTCATTGTCTGGCTTCAAAGAAAAAGCATGTATCAGTGGCGAAATTGGGTTTTTTAACTGGAAATGCTTTAATTCGGCCGCTAAATTCAATATGATTTGCTCTAGCAACAAAGCCCACGTCGGCTGGCGATTTCAGCAACGTATGCAACTATGCAGACCACGCAGCTGTAATGTGCAAGTGGCCAGGCCTGTACTGGTTCTGAAACCATGTACAAGTAGGCATGCAAGCCCGGATCGTCCTTATTGTCTTTTGTGCTGTGATCCCAGGAAAGCTCTCTAGGGCAGGGTGTGTATCCGTTGTATCCGCAAACATTCCAGTCATCAGAGCAAGTCGCCTAGAAAGGGGGTAAAAAAAAAAAAAAAAGGGTTCGGTGACAAAGTTGACTTCCACAGTTTCGTTGAACTGATCCAATGTGTTGGCTTCCGTAAGAGCAGAAACCGCCTCATCACCAGCATTGCGCACCTCCTGAGGATCATGAAACGCAACTCACACTTGAGTCCGCTCGTCTTACGATACGAACCACGGGTTGCAACCACGTGCTCTGATCTCCGACTGCACCTCCGCAACGCCGGGGACCAAATCGGAAACTGGTGCCGTAGCTGCAGCTTCCTGAAAGTGGCTTCGGGGTGTGGATGTCCTGGAAACCTCAATCGCGGTAACATCACGAATCTCAAAGTGCTCTTGCAGTACAGCAAAGTCGCTAGATTCCTGGATGGAGATCTTCCTTCCTACCCCCGACCGAGAACGTGTCTGTTATGACACATGCTGCCGAAGTCCTTCTGAGATGCGAAGACATGACCCCACGACTTTTGCCCGAATCTCTTTGCGAGCACACTCGTCAACGGTGGGATCGCGAGCAGCTGTCTTAATCATCAGCTGCTCCCGGCGACCAAATCCAGACAGCTCCAGAAGAGCAAATTGGAGCGCATCAAGCTCCGATCACCACCTTTTCAGGGCAACGTGCGAAAGCATAGTTCGCCGCAGTTCGCCCTGTTGCTTGGCGCGGGGACCCGTCCACAGATGCGCTTGTCTGAAAAGCTCGATGCCTCCCTCGGATTGGAGGGGACGCTTGGCGACGGATCTGTTCTTTCGGCTGGTCCATGCCATCTGGCTTCAGCAACTTATCGAGCCTACGTCCCGCGCTATGCTAAAATCATGCCCTCGCAGGCCCCTCCAGGATTGTCTGGACGCAATCTGACTTTTCTACGTCAGCATCATTGACGTCTTTGATCGTGAGTCCCGGGTCACTGTGAGACCATCGTCTGTATCTCCTTCGATCTGGCTCGGATGACTCGGGATCGATGCGTCTTCATCACCTTCAAGTCGCTGCCTCTAAGACCCGGTTAGGCTATTTAGAGACATATATCCTATTTTGCAAAATAGTTTATTTTACCTTGAAATATACTCATTTTTTTAAATGGACTATTTCGCTCTTGTTTCATACTCTATTTTTTCGGTTATGTAGTAAATAGACTATCCCAAAATAGGGCATATGGTAGAATATAGGATATTTTCGCATATGTTGGAAACCAAAGAATCAATGGAAATCCATACAGAACCAACGTCAGTGTTGTTTAGATAAAACACGTCTGCGAATTGGGAAATGTGTTGCAGAGCGACCTGTGTTGAAAGATCTTCTTGAAATCTTGACTCGTTTCGATAGTGATAACCCGAGGTTTCTAGATGGATTTGGGCAAGGTAGGCAGATGGGAAGGTAGGAAGGTTGCTAGGTATGGGTAATGGCTCCCTAGGTACAAACGAGGTAGGTAAGATTGGGATTCGTGCTTTGAATAAGGGGTTGTTCCGTGGCACTGGGTTTTGGTGTTTGGGATTGGGGCTTCGTGCTTCTAGAATAAAGGGTCTTTGGCTCCGGTGGTGAGAGGTTGTGGGTTCGGCAGGTTTGAGGATTTGAAGTTTGGTGTTTGCGGGATTGCGGCGTTTATCCAGGGGTATCGGGATTTGGACGGCTTTCTGCTTATGGTTGGGGGCTTAGGGTTTCCGGCGCTCTGGGGAAGGTGGTTGTTGGGTCCGGGGTTTAAGGGTCTAGATGTCTTTGGCGATGGGGGGGCTTCGGGTTCCGGCACAATGGGTATGGGGCTTTGGGATTTAAGGGTGTAGGACTTCTAGGATTACATGGGTGTTTGGGTTCGGTGGGGCTTGGCCCCTTAGGGGGGGGGGCTTCTGGATTTGAGGTTTGGTGTTTATGGGTGTCGGGTTTCCTATCTCATGGCTTCCGAGCTTGCAGAATTAGGCTTGTCTTGTTTGGCTCTGGGGTTTAGAGTTTAAGGGTATTCATACTTCGGGGTTTAAGGGTGATGGGTTTTGGCGCTTTTGGTTTTGGGTTACACGTACTTCTACACGTTGAAACATACAAGCACAGGCACACAGACACATAAGGCACCTTTATCCTTATACATATATATATATATATATATGTTGCAGACATACAATGTGTTCTATACATACACACGTATGCGTGTTCATATCTCTCTCTCTGTATATATATATATATGTAAGAGAAACCTTTCTGTACTATGTGATTGAACTCTGGTTTTCCTAGTTCTTCATAGTTTTCAGTTTTCAAAGTTTCGGCAGCAAGGTTTTCGGCGGTCCGAAAAGTTTGATTTCGGCCATCCGGCAAGTTTGAAAACTTTGAAAACTATGAAAACTATGAAAACGGTCCGAAAAGCTTGATTTCGGCCATCCGGAAAGTTTGAAAACTTTGAAAACTATGAAAACTATGAAAGCCGAATCCTGGTTTTCATAGTTTTCAAAGTTTTCATAGTTTTCAAAGTTTCGGCCATCCGGAAAGATTGAAAACTATGAAAACTTTGAAAACTATTAAAACTATGAAAACTATGAGAGCCGAATCCTGGTTTTCATAGTTTTCAAAGTTTTCATAGTTTTCATAGTTTTCAAAGTTTCGGCCATCCGGAAAGTTTGAAAACTATGAAAACTTTGAAAACTATTAAAACTATGAAAACTATGAGAGCCGAATCCTGGTTTTCATAGTTTTCAAAGTTTTCATAGTTTTCAAAGTTTCGGCAGCAGGGTTTTCATAGTTTTCAAAGTTTCGGCCATCCGGAAAGTTTGAAAACTTTGAAAACTATGAAAACTATGAAAGCCGAATCCTGGTTTTCAAAGTTTTCATAGTTTTCATAGTTTTCAAAGTTTCGGCCATCCGGAAAGTTGGAAAACTATGAAAATTTGAAAGCTATTAAAACTATGAAAGCTATGAAAGCCGATTCCTGGTTTTCATAGTTTTCAAAGTTTCGGCCATCCGGAAAGTTTGAAAACTATGAAAAACTTTGAAAACTATTAAAACTATG